ACACACACGTACGCACACACACGTACGCACACACGCGCGAACACACACGCGCACACACGTACACATGCACACGCGCACACACGTACGCGCACACACGCGCAAACACACACACACGTGTGAACATACACATGCACACACACGCGAACACACACGCGCCGTGCGAACACACGCACGCACGTGCACACACACACATGAAGAGATGTGCTATAAGGAATTGCAACAATAACCAGCTTGTGGGGCCAGGCAGTGCGTCGGGAGTGCGCGGCGCCGGCCGCCGGGGCAGACAGGCTGAGCTGTGGTGGGCGCGGGGAGAAGCCGCAGTCCGCAGGGAGACTCCCTTCCCCTCACAGCAGCCCGCTGCTCCCAGGCTCCTTCACCAAATCCAGTCAGGCCCGCCAGACCCCGAGAGCGGCCTCCCACTCGTGATGTCCGCCAGCGTGACAGCGTGTGACGGCGTGTGCCCGTGTGTTTGCAGAATGTCTTTACAACAGCTTTCTGGGTTGCCTAAATGTGTTCATATTCTAGAGCACTGCTCTGGGTCTGCTGCAGCGCGCCAGGGCTCCTCTGTGCATAGTTTGGGAACTGAAGCACTAAGCATTTGTGCAAGCAACATGGAAAGACTTCAGAAGACTGTGATTTTTTTTTTTTTTTTTTTTTTTGGGTCCGGTCGTGGGGCCTGAACTCTGGGCCTGGACGCTGTCCCTCAGCTCTTCAGCTCAAGGCTAGCGCTCTACCACTTGAGCCACAGAGCCACTTCCGGCTTTTTGCTTTTTGCTTATGTGGTGCTGAGGAATTGAACCCAGGGCCTCAGGCATGCAAGGCAAGCGTTCTACCACTGAGCCACCTTCCCAGCCCAGAAGACTGTGATTTAAACAACAAGAACAAACACTTTCCAGATAAATGAGACCTTCTGATCATTGTCTTCACTGTGTATGAAGCAGGTTTGGGATATTTAACTGGGAAGGAACGGCTGCTCATGTATAGAAATGTATTCTTTTGAAACCCAAGCACTCTCATGAATGTACCCATGCTCCTCACGGCCAGCGTCTCTTCAGCCTTTGCTTGCTGACCATCCTAACAGCGCAAGGCTTTCGGCTTTCTGTGCTCTTCATTTTCTGTTATTTCTTTATGGTCTGCTCTTGGCAGTGCCGGTGAGAATTTAATGTCTTTGTGTCGGGAATGGCCTAGTTATTCTGACAAACTGATCAACCTCCAGGGTGCTCCTCCACCATGAAACTGATTTTATATCTCATGCACTGGCTAATAAGATGTCAAGCATTTTTCCTGTTGCCCGGGAAATCAGGCTTGCTTCTCTCAGAAGTCCCGGGGCGTTCTCAATGACTGAGCCTCACACAGCCTCACACAGCCTTCCATAACACAGCTTCTCACACACGGCACAGCTTCTCCATACAGCTCAGCTTCTCCACATAGCACAGTTTGTCAAACACAGCACTTCTCAACACAGTACAGCTTCCCCACACAGTGCAGCTTCTCATAGAGCCCAGCTTTTCTTGGAGCATATAAGAAATGAGTGAAGGGCTGGGAAGGTGGCTCAGTGCTAAGAGCACTTGCCTTGCATGCCTGAGACCCTGGGTTCGATTCCTCAGCACCACATAAGCAAAAAGAAAAAAGCCGGAAGTGGCGCTGTGGCTCAAGTGGTAGAGCGCTAGCCTTGAGCTGAAGAGCTGAGGGACAGCGCCCAGGCCCAGAGTTCAGGCCCCACAACTGGACCAAAAAAAAAAAAAAGAAAGAAATGAGTGAAGATTAGCAGAGACATTTTAAGAGAAGGAGAAAACCTTCACAGGAAATGCTAGGACCCAATTTACCATTCACTTTCCATTCAAAGAAAATAAACTATTAGAGACTAAAACCTGGTTGTCCTGGTGATCTGGGTTAGGGAAGTCTTGATATATACCGTCTCCCACTAACCTAAACTTTTAAATAAGTTGACATTCTACATTGGAGCTCAGTCTCTAAGAAGTAAGAATATAATATAGGTGAGATATCTCTTACTCCAAACCCAAAATGCTCTAAAATCTGAAGTCTTCTGAGTGTGCCCATGACACCAGAGCAGAGCTTCCACACATGACCTCACGTGAGAGGTCGAAGCCAAGGGTAGGCACACTGAGATTATTGTAAGAAGTCGCCAGCAGACCATGTGCAGAAAATGTATATTGCAAGTGAATTCCGTGCTTGAACTTGGATCCATCCCCATGATATCCCATTAGGTGTAAACAAGTTTTCCATAATCTGAAAAAAATCAAAAATTCGAAATATATCTTGTTCCAAACGTTTCAAGTAAGGGCTGTTCAACCTGAAGTCTAAAAGTGGTGGTTATAGCCCTTCTAGTGGTGTATTTCTGGAAAAGAGGCCATTGTACTATAAAATGATTGCCTTTTGTGGTTGTTACGTCTTAAGGGGTAATGTAATGTCTTGACAGTAAAGTACTTTTTAGGTAAATGTTTGAAAGAAGATGGACATAGGGGAAGAAAGAAGTCTGTTCACAGGCTGAAGATGTAAGGAAAAATGTGTTGGGGGTGGGGGTTGTATTCTGGAATCTCGGAGGAAAAGCAGGGGTCCTTGACATAAAGTTGGTGTTATTTGTAAACTATTTGTTTTGCTTCAGTGTTTCAGTTAAATTAGTCTTTTTTTCTATTTTAAGGCTCCCTTACTTGCGCAAAGGAGTTTTATGTTTCATTGTGATATTTCTATCGATGTGTACAATGTATTTGGAACAAATTCACCCTCGGCTACATGTTCTTAACGCCCTCTTCTACCTCCCCCTTCAAAGAGCAATTTACCATGCTATCCTTTTCTTTTTCTTTCTTTCTTTCTTTCTTTCTTTTTTGTCAGTCGTGGAGCCTAAACTCTGGGCCTGGGCACTGTCCCTCAGCTCCAGGCTAGCACTCTACCACTTGAGCCGCAGCACCACTTCCGGCTTTTTCTGCTTATGTGGTGCTGAGGAATCGAACCCAGGGCCTCATGCATGCAAGGCAAGCGCTCTACCAACTGAGCCACCTTCCCAGCCCCACATGCTATATTTATATGTATATGTGTCACACACACACACACACACACACACACATACACAATGTGCTTCAATCGCATTCATCCTCCCAAACATCTCTTTTTCTCCCGTTAGTTCCTCTTTTATACTTACGTCTATTATAATCATCATTACTATCATTTTAGTAATGATTCATCATGAATGAAATCTGCTATATTAGAGCTTTGAGGTTAGCTTTCCTCAACATTTTCCTGCAAATGTCATAACTTTATTCTTCCTTTTAGTAGATCATTGTACACATAGTCCACATTTTCTTTTTCCATTCATTGTCTTTTGGGCCCAGAAGTTGTATGGCAGAGTTGTAAGACAGTTCTGTTTCTGTTTTCTGAGGAGCCACCAGACTGATTTCCAGTGTCCCTCAGACAGTGCCACCAACAGTGCATAGGGCCTCCCCTCCCCATTCCCACCAGCATTTCTGTGTGTTGGTTTCCTTGAGGATTGTCATTCTGAGTGGCACGACATGAAATATCAGTGTCATTTTTATTTGTGGTTTTTAAGGGCCTGGGATGTTGAATAGTTCTTCATTTATTTATTAGCTGTTTATACTTCATTTGAGAACTGTCTATCCAATTCACTTTCCCATGTAGCCTATTTATTAACTGGATTATTTATGCATTTGGTATTCAATTCTCTTGAGCTCATTTTTTAAGATTTTTTATTAGCGTGCAACTGTTATACAAGGTAGAGGCTCACTGTGATGTTTTTACCCGTGCATACCACACGTCCCAATCAAACCCACCCCTCTGAATACCCTCCCTCCCTTCCACCCCTCTAAAACAATGTCAGTTGGTTTTATTGTTGTATTTACATATATGCAAATGAAGCACCCAGTCATTTGCATCCTCTTTCACCCATTCTGTTCACCTTCATCCTAATAATGTGTGTGTGTGTGTGTGTGTGTGTGTGTGTGTGTACATTGCACCAAGGGGTTTCACAATGGCGGTTCAGATGGGAATGGATTTTGTCTTCATGAGAGTACCCTTCTCCTCTCTCTTTCCCCGCCCCCAGGCCTCTGCTCACTAACACTTTTATTGATACTTCATACACAATGGCAATGCATTTTAATATTATTCACCCTCTATCACTGTGTTTCCCCGGTCTCTTCCCCCTGGCTCCCTTAAACAGGCCATAGCGACAACCATCTTCTATTCATGTGCACATGCATATGCAACACAGAGCATCATATGCATCTATATATCACATAGGCACATATGTAGGTATATACGGAGAGGGAGGGGAGCATAGCATATTTCTGATTGTGGGATGGTTTGAGTGGGTTAGAGGATGGCAGGAGGGAGAGAGGGAAACAGCACCAAATACACGCAAGTCGCTTTCCTCCTGCTCTGTTCCCCTCTCCACTGGCTCCAAGCATTTACTCCCAATACCGTCTCCTCCGCTGGGAGCATCTGGAAGGAATGAAGTGTGACTCATCCGTGTGTGTGTGTGTGTGTGTGTGTGTGTGTGTGCGCGTGCGCGCGCGCACATGCACACATGCGCATATGCGTGCTGGTACTGGGACCTGAACTCAGTACAACATGCCCTTGATTAACTTCTCATCCAAGGCTAATGCTCTACTACTTGAGCCATACGTTCACTTCTAGCTTTTTGCTGGGTAATTAGAGATATGAGTCTCAAAGGTTTTCCTGCCTTGGTTGGCTTCAAACCTTGATCCTCAGATCTCAGGATCCTAAGTAGCTCGGATTACAGGTGTGAGCCATGGTGTCCAGCTCACCCTTGATCTTTAGCGTCCTGCTGCCTTGCTTGTAGCATTCTCCAATGAAGAGTGAACAGAGCCATCCAAATATAACTTGGTGTCTCTTTGCACAAGGTCATTTGTCATGGAAACCAGAGGAATGAGCAGGGTGAGTTGGGAAAAGGGAAACCGTGGCCTGACCACATGCAGCAGACCCATGGCTCTCTGTGTTCTCCACAGTTTGTCTTCTGCCGGGACTGCAAGGATGCGTACCATGCCGGCGGCTGCAGCACGCTGTTTAACACCTCGGGAGCCACTTCTCAGGTCAGTGGCCCCCTTCCCGCCCTCAGAGAGGGCTCTGCCATGAACCCCAGCAGCAGGGCGGGATGGGGTCCCCAGGCCATGTGCACGTCCCCATGGCCAGGTGGATGTCTGTGAAACCGGGTGCCTGGACCCCCAGGCCCAAGTTCCAGGAGCTCCACATTCGGTCTGGCCACTCCCCTCCAGAGAGCTTCTCTAATTAACCAGCGAAAAGCCGGAAGTGAAAGTGTGGCTCAACTAATAACATGCCAGTCACAAGCAAAAACGCCAAGGAAGAGCATGGGGCCCTGAGTTCAAGCACCAACACCAGAAGACAGACAGACAGACAGACAGACAGACAGACAGACAGAGAGATGGGAGGGAGGCAGGCAGAGAACATGGCGGCCACGGGCAGACAGCACTCAGAACCACTCCGGCACTGGGGTGGGTTCAGGTTCCAGCCTTAGTTAAATAGGGAGAACTTTAGGCAGAAAGTAAGCAAGGAATGTACAGTTAAAACCGTCCCTGATTGCTGGGCGCCGGTGGCTACTCAGGAGGCTGAGATATGAGGGTCGCGGTTCAAAGCCAGCCTGGGCAGGGAAGTCGATGAGACTCTTATCTCCAATGAACTACCAGAAAACCAGAAATGGTGCTGTGGGTCAAGTGGCTCACATTGAGCCAAAGAGCCAGGAACAGTGCCCTGGCCCAGAGTTCAAGACCCACGACCAACAGAAAAAAAAAAAGTCCCCAAGTCACAGATGTGACCGGGGTGACCATTAGTTCCATCTTTGGCCCAGAAACATTGTTGAATCTTTCTGGAAGAGAACGGAAGCAGTGCCTGGCGGTGTCTCCTGAACTGTCAGCCTTCTCTCTCAGATGCCAGGCCCGGGGCGGTGCCGTCCTCCCGGTGCCCGCCGAGGCTGTAAAGGGACCACGGCAGGAAGAGCTCGGCCCCAGGAGCCCAGCGCGGAGGGCATCCAAGGGCCCAGCCCAGCCATCGCTGGGGTTGCCTCTTACACCCACACTTCCTCGCTGTCCCCCATCCCAGGGGCGTGGGGCAGGGAGAGGCCCTGAGCCTGGGCTGGCCGATGAAGAAAGCCCCGCCATCCCCAGATCAGACAACTCGAGCCAGCCCTGCCTGCGCGTCTTCTCCAACGCGTCTCTGCAGACTCCCTGGCATCCTTAAGTCACAGGCGCACCCAAAGCACCTCCCCTCCCCTCCCCTCCCTTGCCCTCCCCTCCCTTGCCCTCCCCTCTCCTCCCTTGCCCTCCCCTCCCCTCCCTTGCCCTCCCCTCCCCTGCCGCCCTGTCTCTGGACGCGGCTAACTGGCGGCCCACATGGTCTTCCCCGCCGATGGATCTGTTCCAGTGTGTGGACTTCGAGTGCGTTCTCCAGCCAGGCGAGCCCGGTCTCCTGCACATTCTTTTATTAATGCAAGAAGAAGAAAAAGAACAAGAAGAAGAGGAGGAGGAGGAGGAGGAGGGGGGGGGGAGGAGGAGGAGGGGGGAAGAGGAGGAGGAGGAGGGGGAGAAGGAGGAGAAGGAGAAGAAGAAGAAGGAGGAGGAGGAGGAGAAGAAGAACAAGAACAAGAAGAAGACGACGACGACAGCAAACTCAAAAGCTGGATTTCAGTTGGTTTCAAAATACTGAAGAAGCTTGAAGTCACAATGGTGGAGAGCTTGGGGATCTCTGACGATCCACCTGCCTCAGCCGGTGGGGGCCCTGCCCCCCCTCCACCATGCCCATCCAGCCCCTTGGGCTCACATCAGAGGCGAAGCCCCCCCCCCCCCAGGATGAGGGTCTGCGCCAGCTCAGGAGCGCCACACCACGCACTTGAGTTTCTCCCCCTGCAGCCCCTGCACCTGTCCTCAGACCTTGGCTCGGGCCCAGCCTGAGCCCATGGGGACGAGGCTGGGGGGAGGATAAATCTCCACTCAAGTGTCTCCTGCATGCATCCACCCCGGGGCCAACTGCTGCAGAAATGCCCAGTAACCCCACCCCCCCACACACACACACACACGCCCCGACCCTGGAGCGCATTCCCAAAGTACTCTGCCCCAGCAGGAAGGTTTGAAGGCTCGCTCAGGAGCAGAGTGGCCCGGGGCAGGGCGTGGAAAGCATCATTCGATTTCCTACGCTCACAGGCCCAGCGCTCAGCGCCCCGGCCTTTCCCTCCCGGCCACGCGCCAGCCAGATCTGCTGAGCTATAAATAATGGAATGAGTGTGTGCCAAGCGTTTATAAGCCGCAAAGTGCTACAAAATGGAAAGGCTGGGGGCTGCAGGGCTCCCAAGGCTGGATGCTAAACGCATCGGGCTCGGGGGGAAGCGAAGGTAAGATGGAAAGACAAATAGAGGCACGCATGCACACACACATATAACACGCAGACACACACATGCACGGATGTTCCCACACATGCACACGTGGCATACATAGGTACACACACATGCACACACAGCACATACACACAGGAACTGTGTAACAACCCACTCTCATGGAACTAACCCAGTCTCCTGAAGACGACATGAATCCCAGCCCCTGGAGACACAGCTGTCCTTTATTAGGGTCCCCCCACCCTCTCCCACCCCCCGTCCCGCACACTTGGTACACAAAGCTCCTAATCTCAGGTCCTTGCCTGAATTTGCAGCTCCACAGCCCGGAGAGCCGATTTCACATGCAAACTACCAGAACCATTGCATCCTGCGGGAAACGTGCTCGCAGGACTGTGTTGTCTCACCCACAGAGCGTGCTGCACACGCGTCACACAGCACACAGATGCTACACGTGCACACATCCTACACGGCACACACGCCTACAGACATGTTACATGCAGGTCACGCACCACATGTGCACACCACACACCCCATGCATGCGCTAATGCACACCACACACAACCCCACCATACAAAACACATCACACACACACACACCACGGCACACGCTCCATACACACTGCATTCCTGTGTGTCACAGGCACGCACAGTTACAGAACACACCTCACACACACACAAGCCTGCACATGAGAATCCACAGCACACAGAGCCACACTGGCACACACGCTGCGTGCCACGCACTGCGTGCCCGGGCCCCTTTTCTGGTGTCCAGGGAAGCAAGCAGCCGTGACAAGCCACCCAGCCCCTGGGAGCTGGGCGCCAGGCGCTGTGCATCAATGGCCACCAGATGGCGCCAAGCCCCTAAGGGAAAGGCCGTACTTTACCAGGACCAGGGTGGACCTGGTTGTTGAGAGGATTACAGGCTATCAAAGCAGCGCCCCACGCCCCGTAATCATGTGTAATTATCTCATGCCCAAAACAGGATTTCTTTTTTTTTTGGTCGGTCGTGGGGCCTGAACTCTGGGCGCTGTCCCTCAGCTCTTCCACTCAAGGCAAGCGCTCTACTACTTGAGCTACAGCACCAGCTCCGGCTTTTTCTGCTTGTGTGGTGCTGAGGAATCGAACCCAAGGCCTCATGCATGCAAGGCAAGCACCCTACCACAGAGCCACCTTCCCAGCCCCACAAACAAGATTTTTTAAAGATGAAATAACCAGTTGAAGAAGAGGGTGAGTCCCTCTGCAGGCTTATGTCCCAGAGCACCGCGTCAGAGGGCCACGGGGGTCACTGTGACCCCAGGGCCAGAGAGGGGCTCAGACAGGCAGGGCCCAGAGTCCTGCCCTCGCAGCCCCAAGGGAACTGGGTGCTATGGAAGCTCATGGCCCGTGCCAGGTGATGGTGTCATTCGCGTGGCCACCAGCAGGGGGTGCCGCTCACAAGCAGGACCCTGAGCCTGGAGCCTCCGCCCTCCTTTGCCAGCCAGGAAGGCACTGGCTCCTAGGAGGACCCAAGAGCTTTGCGGGGCCTCCCTCTCCACCTTTGTAGGTGCCCAGCCCTGGCTGAGGAGGGCAGGGGGGTATGTGTGCTGAGCATGAGAACCAGGCGGAGGTGGCCTCGGGGTGTGGGCTCTGGCTGGTGGTCGATGGGCACGTGGAAGGGGCCTCTGCCTCTAAATTAGTGGCACTGGGAAGAACAGACCCTCCAGGGTCCACAGGGCTCCCGATGTCAAAGCGTCAGAAGGAAGAGGCTGGTGTGGTGCGGGAGACCATGCAGGCATCATGGCAGTGAATCCTCGAACCCAGGGCCAACCTCCCTGCCTGCTTCCTGCCCTGAGTGCTAGTTCCTGCCCACACAGGTCCAGTCCACTCCAACCCTCCCTGACTCTTCACCCCTGGTGACCCCTCCCTCCTTTGGCAGTAACCCGCTGAGTACAGAAACGCCAACTGTTAGCGAGGTCCTACCGGGCTCCGAGAGTGGGTGAGAGCGCTCGGTACTTCTGATCCTGTACCGTCACTGGAAATGATGATCGGGTTGCAGAGATGGAAGGACCGCCGTTTGAGGCCCGCCCAGGGAACAGTTCGTAAGAGAGACTTGTCACACAAACCAGGCAAGGTGAAGCCGTCTGTAATCCCAGCTATGTGGGAAGCAGAGGTAGAAAATGTCCATCTCTCTGAGGTCAGCGCAGGCAAAAGCATGAGACTTACCTGAAAAGCAAAAAGCCAAGGGATTTGAAGGTGTGGCACAAGTGGTAGAACACTGCCTATGGCAGGCTTGAGGCTCTGAGTTCAAACCCCAGTACTGCCAAAAGCAATCTATAAAGAAAATAGTTGTATCTGTGAAGGTGAGACTATTGAGAATTGCTGCTCTGGCTTCTTCCTCCCCCCCCCCCCCTCCCATCTCAATAGCCAACACTTGCTTTTTTGGGGGTCCGGTCGTGGGGCCTGAACTCTGGGCCTGGGCGCTGTCCCTCAGCTCTTCAGCTCAAGGCTAGCGCTCTATCACTTGAGCCACAGCGCCACTTCCGGCTTTTTTCTTTTTGCTTATGTGGTGCTGAGGAATCAAACCCAGGGCCTCCGGCATGCAAGGCATGCGCTCTACCACTGAGCCACCTTCCCAGCCCATCAATGGCCAACACTTTCTTAGCAACTCCCATTCCCTTAACTGGGCAAATCCAATAACTTAATTCATACTAGCGTGCAAGTGGCCACCCAAGTTGTACTCTGTGTCCCTCTTGGGGAGCAAGTGTCTTGGTTCTTGAACAGGAAGGAGCCTCTCTTCAGATGGCAGGGCATCCCCTCCCCCTCCCCCACCCCCTCCCCCAGCCTGTCCTACTGCTCTGTCCATGTGCCTTGGGCATCAGGAAAGTGGAATTGTGAGAGGGAAGTGTTTTTCTTCTTTCCCCTAGTTTCCTTTCCTCCTGGAGAGACCACGCATGTTGATGTGAAGCAGGGTGCAGCTCTGAATCTCTGCTATCCATGGGCAGGAAGCCTCCAGGTCTCGCTCTAGACCTTTCCCTTGGGTTGACCACGATATCCTTTGTCACCGTCACTCTACTGCCCAGGCTCCACTTGGCCACCTGCGACCGAGTGCTTAGAGTGCACAAGCCCAAGCCCCGGGCTGCAGCGAGGCTGTGAGCCATGGCCGAGGAACACATGCATCTCCATACCTTCTAGACTGACGAAGAGCTGCCGGATTGTGCAATCCGTGGCTGGTGGGAAAAGTAGGGCGTGTTCAGACACTGGGGTCCAGGGAAAACGAATGGCCTCACCCACACAAGTCTGTAAGCTGGGGGGAAATATTCACTACATATATTCATTTTGTGAATATATATACTGCCTCACACACAAACCTGTATGTGGGGCAGGGAATGTTCACAACGTGTGTGTGTGTGTGTGTGTGTGCGTGTGTGTGTGTGTTCATTTTGGTCCTGGGGCTTGAACTCAGGGTCTGGGCAATGTCTCTGAGCCTTTTGGCTCAGGGATAGTGCTTAGGAGGCTGAGATCTGAGGATCACAGTTTAAAGACAGCCAGGACAGGAAAGGAAAGTCTGTAAGACTTATCTCCAATAAACTATTCAGCAAAAGCCAGAAGTGGTAGAGTGCTAGCCTTGAGCACAAAGAGGCTCAGGGACATCACCCATGCCCTGAGTTCAAGTCCCAGGACGACAGTGGAAATGTTCTCAATGAAGGTGTGTATTTTAAAATGAGAAATATAATACATTTATGCCACCAAAAAGCCGGAAGTGGAGTTGTGGATCAAGTGGTAAAGTACCAGCCTTGAGCAAAAGAGCTTAGCCCCAATACTGTCATACAGACAGACAGACCCACCGACAGACAGACACACACACACAACAGGTGTGTGTGCCTTGGCATTTAGCAGCTGGCTTGCCATTAACCATCGGCTAGATGTTATGGGTGAGTCACTAAAACAATAGCATCTCGGGCTGATTGCACAGTAAGGTTGAGCCATCTCTTCCCAGCCTGTCAGCACACGCCCAGTGCCAGGCACCGTGTGCCCCACACAGCCGTCCCGTGCCCGCCGCAGCCGCCCGGCGGCAGGCGGGCCCCGTGTGCGCAGGCGGGCCCGTGTGCGCAGGCGGGACCTCGTGTGCGCAGGCGGGCCCCGTGTGCGCAGGCGGGCCCCGTGTGCGCAGGCGGGCCCCGTGTGCGCAGCTGCCCAGTGGCAGGCGGGCGCCGTGTGCGCAGGCGGGTCCGTGTGCGCAGGCGGGGCCCCGTGTGCGCAGGCGGGCCCGTGTGCTCAGGCAGGACCTCGTGTGCGCAGCTGCCCAGCGGCAGGCGGGCCCCGTGTGCACAGGCGGGGGCCCGTGTGCGCAGGCGGGGGCCCGTGTGCGCAGGCGGGGCCCGTGTGCTCAGGCAGGACCTCGTGTGCGCAGCTGCCCAGCGGCAGGCAGGGCCCCGGCACCCACGCTGCTCCCTGAAGCCCATCGTCACGGTGGATGGCTGCGAGCGCAGCGCCAGCAGCCCGATGGCAGCGGACCATTGACGTGTGCTCTTCTTGTCTCGGTGGGTGCAGGCCTACAGAGTGGACGCGCGGGCCGCCGAGCGAGCCCGCTGGGAGGAGGCCTCCAAGGAGACCATCAAGAACACCACCAGGCCGTGTCCCCGCTGCGGCGTGCCGGTGGAGAAGAACGGTGAGTGGGGGCGGGGCTGGGGGCGGGGCTGGGGCGGGGCCGGCCTCCAGCTGAGTGGGGGCGGGGCTGGGGGCGGGGCTGGCCTCCAGCTGAGTGGGGGCGGGGCTGCGGGGCGGGGCTGGCCTCCAGCTGAGTGGGGGCGGGGCTGGCCTCCAGCTGAGTGGGGGCGGGGCGGGGGGCGGGGCTGGCCTCCAGCTGAGTGGGGCGGGGCTGCGGGGCGGGGCCGGCCTCCAGCTGAGTGGGGGCGGGGCTGGCCTCCAGCTGAGTGGGGGCGGGGCGGGGGGCGGGGCTGGCCTCCAGCTGAGTGGGGCGGGGCTGCGGGGCGGGGCACACGCCCCTCAGAAGCTGCTTGAATCCCAGCTCTTCCACATCACGTTGGGGCCTTCGAGCCCCAGCTCCCCAGAGGTCGCTGAGTTTTAACGCCAGGGCTCCGTGCTTCGGGATGGCACCAGCAGCATGTGATCTTCACAGGATCTCGTTATTTCCTTCTATTTTTACATCCTGTTAAAGATATGTTGATAATAACATTGTCCTAAGTGAGATTTTAAAAACAATCTAGGGCTGGGAAGGTGGTCGAGTGCTTGCCTTGCATGCAGGAGGCCCTGGGTTCGATTCCTCGGCACCACATAAGCAGGAAAAACTGGAAGTGGCGCTGTGGCTCAAGTGGTAGAGCGCTAGCCTTGAGCTGAAGAGCTGAGGGACAGCGCCCCGGCCCAGAGTTCAGGCCCCACAACCAACCAACAAAACAAAACAAAACAAAAAAATTCTAAGTTTCCTCCTTTACTTTCCATCTACACACATGATCTCTCGAACAAAAAGCACAGTAAACCAGAGGATTTGGAACGCGTGTCATCCCATCCTAACACGAATACCCGATGCTACCGATCTGTATTTCAAATCGGTGACTGTGCCCACGCCAGGTTTCTGAGAACAAAAATGAGACCATAAAGAGGCAATTACTTGGAAAATTTGGCAAGGAAAAATATGAGCTAACAAGATAATTGGTGCAATTGAGTAACGGATCACATTTCCAGAACTTATGCAGGGCTCAGCCAAGGAAGCGGCCTCCTCTGGCCTGTCTAGCCGAGATGCGGCCCACGGCCGGGCACGGTCTGCGCCTCCCAGGTGTGGGGCGCGCTTCACTCCACGTGCCTGGGCCCAGCAGCGCCCCAAATAAGGGGGTTGCCAGCTCCTGTGGAGGGAGGCAGGCCCCAGAGAACCCCCAGATCCTGTCGTTTTCTTCCTCCTGGGGTCCACTTGTGATCTCAGAGCTTATGGGAGAAAGAGCGCCTAACATGATTGCTTCTTCCTCTCTACCCCTCTGGTCTTAAACGACATCTTGAATTAAAGCATCCAGGACTGCATTCCCCACCAGAGTTACAACCAGAGCCCCAGCAATGCCAATTCCTGACTGATGATTTTTTTTCTGAATCAAGGAACACTAACAGAACAATAGAAAATGAATCACACTATGCAAGCACGTATTAACTCATCAAACATGTAATGCATGTTTAAATATCTGCAGACGTTGATGTAGATTCATAACTCAGAACTTGGCTGTCTGTGGCGCACGACGCCTTTGTCTCTGAACCCCAGGGGGGACTGGGCCTCAGTTTCCCCAGTCTCTGAATGACTGTCCGGTGCTGTCTGGTGTGCCTCCCCTGCCTCAGCCTCTCTCGGCCCCAGTGGCTGGTGGCTGCTCGCATAGACAGTACTTTCTAGAAGAGCTTGCAGTCAGGTGTCTGCCGCCCGCCCACCCACTGCTGTCCTTTGTCTCGGCAGGAGGATGCATGCACATGCAGTGCCCGCAGCCCCACTGCAGGATGGAGTGGTGCTGGAACTGCGGCTGCGAGTGGAACCGCGTCTGCATGGGCGACCACTGGTTCGATGTGTAGCGGGCACAGCAGGCCACAGCCTCTGCCTGCCCCGTGGCCGGCGGTCCTTCTTCCAAACACAGATGCTTGCTCACACACGCACACACACACACACACATAATTATAGAAACTTCTGGATCCCATTTACTGCATCCAGGAAAAACTACCACCAGCAACGGTGCCTGTTCACACCTCAGGAAATACCATAGCACCATGAACGCACTTGATGTAAACTTGACACAAACCCTGGCTCTTACACTGATTTTAGTTAGGCCGCATCAGCTCCTGGAAGGAGACTGCTCAAGTTTAGTCTCCTGCATTTTACTGCACGTGAGTACTGAGCGGAAGCCACTGGTGAGGTGGGAAGTAATTGGGGTGTGGGCACAGTGTGGGGGCTCTCACAGGACGGACGGTCGTGGCGTCTTAGAGCTAACGATAGCCATGGCTTGGAGAGTGATTTTCCCATCTCACAGGGCCCCAGGTGAGCGCCAAGGATATTTGCTTTTCTCTGAGAATTCTTTCGATAAATTTTGCTGGTAAAATACGCGCTACGCACACATCAAAATGCCAACCACCGAGAGGTCAGGAAAGGGACCTGCAATGCCGGCTTTGCAGTTCCAGGAAACAAAGCAAAACTCACGGTACTTTGATCTCCTTTGATTATTTGCAACATTTGCAAGAACTTATTTCTTCTGAAGACATCACACGTTCTAGAATGTGCATAGCTTGGCAATCGAGCTCCTCTGCCTTTACTGTAAATCTAGTAGATAAAGGAGATCGTTTTTTAGAACAATTTCAGAATTGCTCTAGGCCAGTGTTATCAAAAGTGCAGGATCTGAAGCTGAATGTATATGGAAGGAGTGCTTCCAGAATGATCTACATGAAAATGCCCCTCCCCCAGGCGACTGCCCAAGAAGCCTGGACCGCCAGGGCCTTGGCACAGGCCGGCAGGCACGCATCAGAACACACAAGCTAACAAGCTTTGTCTTGGACCACTACTCACATTTGCAGCTGGTTGTTGAGGTGTTTGAGACCCACAGAAAGATTCCCTCTAGAACCCGTGAGTAGAGTTTCCACAACCACTCATGCTGGCGAGAACTTGTTGCGGGCCACGGCAGCCTCCCGCCGGCCTGCTGGCTCCCCCGGAGACAGAACCAAGAACGTCACTGACAACACGAGATGCCCTGCTGGGTTTAAAGGCCTTGATGTTCCCACCTCAGTGCCCCGGCTTCTCTTTTTAGACAAGCCCTTGCCGCTGGCAGAAGAGGGGGCCACCCCTGGAACTTTCCAGATCACATCCTGAGCATGTCTGTCCCTCTGTCCGTGATGACGTGGCCCTCTGTTTCCTGGGAGGTGCAGCACTGGAACATCACACAAGCAGCCGAATTTGGCTTTGCATTAGAGTATCCATCCGGCCCACAGGCCAACTGCCACCACACCTGTGCCCTGACGCCCGGGGTCACGCAGAAACGCCAGCAAGGGCGAGGGCAGCGGGCGGCATCTCCTTCCGTCAGCCAGGCAGTGTGGTCCTGACAATCCCAGTCCATCCCCGCTGCCGAAGCCAGCAGCACCGAGCCACGGCCCATACCATATCACCGTGGCTCCGCTTTCTGGGCGCTGCTTTTGTTACTGACCCCTTAGAATTCTGCACGGGGTTTTAGAGTTTTGAAGCTGGAATGAGGTTTGCAGTCACCAGTGGCCGGGGAACCCGGTCCCCTGGGGCCAGGGGGCTGACTGTCCAGCAGGGTCCTTGGTGTTTTCACACTAGAGTAGTGATTCTTAAAATATCTTAAGGGGGAAAAAACCACTGTGTATGAACATGACTCAGGAATAGTATTATTGGAGCCTGAACTGTGTAATAAAATATGAAGATCAAAAGAACAGAAACAAGATCTCTGCCAAATAATCGTTATTTTTCTCTTACGTGTGTTGAGAAATATCTGATGCCTGTGTCTACTGCTGAATTCACACTGTCAATAAAAGCTTCAAAAGATTCTTTGGTCTGTCCTTGGCATTATGTTTTGGAGAAAAGTTGGAGAAAAGAAGAGTACACTCCCCCCCCCCCCCCCCCACACACACACACACGTTGCTCCCTGCATTTCTCTCAGAACTTTCTAGAAGCATCCATCGGCTGGTGACAAATGATCCTTTTTATCTCTATTCTAGATTCTAAATTAACTTGGGTTGTTTTCTCTCTTCGGTATTAGGTTATCAAAATTTGAAAACAGAGCCTTATGCAGAAATGTCAATAGTTACTTTCTTGCCATCCTGTCTAAATAAATGATTGGTAAAAGTTTCAAGCTGTTTGCCGGTGGCTCACGCCTGTCATCCTAGCTACTCGGGAGGCTGAGATCTGAAGATGGCGGTTCAAAGCCAGCCTGGGCAGGAAAGTCCCTGAGAATCTTATCTCCAATAAACTACCCAGAAAAGGCTGGAAGTGGTGCACACAGAGCACTGTGCCCGTCTTCAGATTACGAATAAACCATGCAAGTGCAGGATTGAAGGTCCTGTGGTTTGGGTAACCACCGGGGCACAGCCTCCTGACCACACCACCCGGCCCCGCGGCGAGACCCCCAGCATCTCAGCCGTGCACACTGCGCCCCGAGCGCTGGCTGCGCACACCCAGCTCAGGAGGGCGTGAGGGACAGAAGCTAAAGCACCAGCTTACAACTCCTGTCTCCAGCGAGCTCAGCGCCCAGCCGCGCGGCCCAAGCGCCTTTCCCTCTGCCTGGAATCCCCGCCCGACCCGGGCAAGGCTCCGGTCAGTTCGACCATGGCGTCTCCAGCCCGGCGGCTCCCAGCCCCCACGGGGGCGTCCCCGAGCGAGAGTGGCATTGAATGCGTATCTCTTTCCACCCCGCGCTTCACAAATGAGGAGAGATGCAGGCTGAGCCTGCCCCCTGCTGCGCCTGGCCTGACTCTAGTGTGTGTGGGGGGGGCGGGGGGAAGGGGGGTTGAGCAGTTCTACGTGGAAGTCCACTGTGTGGGGACCTTGCCAGTGAGTCCACGAGGGAGCATGCCTGTACCCTGCGCCTGCATCCTGTACCCTGCAGCCTGCGCCTGTACCCTGCGCCTGCATCCTGTACCCTGCTGCCTGTACCCTGCGCCTGCATCCTGTACCCTGTGGCCTATACCCTGCGCCTGCGGCCTGTACCCTGCGGCCTGTACCCTGCGGCCTGTACCCTGCGGCCTGTGCCCTGCAGCCTGCGCCCTGCACCTGTGCCCTGCGCCTGCGGCCTGTACTCTGCGGCCTATGCCCTGCAGCCTGCACCTGTGGCCTGTACTCTGTGGCCTGTGCCCTGAGCCTGTACCCTGCGCCTGCGGCCTGTGCCCTGCAGCCTGCGCCTGCGGTCTGTACCCTGCGGCCTGTGCTCTGCAGCCTGCGCCTGCGGCCTGTACCCTGCGGCTTGTGCCCTGCAGCCTGCACCTGCGGCCTGTACTTGCGGCCTGTGCCCTGCGGCCTCTACCTGTGGCCTGCAGCCTGTGCTCTGTAGCCTCTACCTGTGGCCTGCAGCATGCGGCCTGCACCTCATACCTGTACCCTGCGCCCTGCGCCCTGCACCTGTGCCCTGCACCTGCTCCCTGCGCCCTGCACCTGTGGCCTGCACCTGCGGCCTGCACCCTGCACCTAAGGCCTGAGCCCTGCGCCTTCAGTCTGCTGCCTGTGCCCTGCACCCTGTGCCCTGCGGCCTGCGGCCTGCACCTGCAGCCTGAGCACTGTGGCCTGTGCCCTCTGGCCTGCGCCTGCAGCCTGCACCCTGCACTTGCGGCCTGCACCCTGTACCTGCACCCTACACCCTGCACCTGCGGCCTGAGCCCTGCGCCTGCGGCCTGTACCCTGCACCCTGCAGCCTGCACCTGTGGCCTGAGCCCTGCACCTGCGGCCTGAGCCCTGCGCATGCAGCCTGCACCCTGTACCTGCGGCCTGTGTCTGCCAGATGCACAGGTTCCGTGCACAGGTAAGGGATTCCATGCACAGGTAAGGGATTCTACACACAAGTAAGGGGAGACGCTGGGACCCGTGCTCTCAAGTTTGGGTTATTGCATCCCACAGGCCCTGAGATTACATCCCCAGGCCCAGGGCACCTCTGCTGCTTCCTTCCAACACTTGGTTGTTCCACCAAGGATTTGTAGTTCTTCATTGCAAACTCAGATAGTGCCTTAGATGTTATTTTTTGCATTCATGTCTCCACACAGCATATGATTTTTTTCTTATATTGTTCCTTGTATTGCAAATTAATTACTACCTTATTAATACTCATTATACAAGAAAAAGGGGACAAAACAAACAACAAAACCATACAGAAGTCATGATTTTGCATCTTATTTGCTCCTAAAACCTGTGATGTTGGGTGGGGTATGTGGTGCATGCCTGTAATCCCAGCAACTCAGAAAGTGGCGATTAAGAGGATAACGGCTAGTCCCTGTGAGACTCTTACTCTTCAATTAATCAGTCAAAAGCCAGAAGTGACACTGTGGCTCAAAGTGGTAGAGCGCTAACCTTGAGCAAAAGAGCTTAGAGATAGCACCCAGGCTCTGAGTTCAAGCCCCATGACCGACAAAAAAAAAAAGAATAGTTGATTGTTGCTTGAATCTGCCCTCAAGGAAAATAAACAAAATCCTACTGGAAAAATAACTTTTCATAAAAGACTTAGGGTCTCTCTCAAGTGATGGAGTGCCTGCCTACCACGCACAAGGCTGTGAGTTCAAGCCCCAGTCTCCCACCCCAGCCCCTCCCCCCAGCCTCAAAAGTAGCATATAAAGTCAATAGACTTTTTTTTAAATGATGTTGTATCAAGGCTTCATCAAGGTCTACATTGTATGCCAATTAGTAAGTGCTTCTTTTTACTGTAATCTTTTAAAAGTATGTAGCAGCCAGGCATGGTCGTGCATATCTTAATTGTAAGTATGAAGCCAATCTGGGCTACAATAGTGAGACTTTGTCTCAAAAACTGGAAATAAAAAATAAAGTAAAAAAGCAAGGTGCTGGTGCCACTCACCTATAATTCTAATACTCTGTAGGCTGAGATGTGAGAATTGAGGTTCAGAGGCAGCTTGAACAGACAACCAAAAGCAAAAAGCTAGAAGTGAAGGTGTGGTTCAAGCGAGAAGGTGCCACCCTTAGCCAAAAAAGCTGAGCAACAGCACGAGGCCCTGAGTTCAAGCCCGGGTACTGGCAAAAGTGAATGAATGAATGAATGATTAAACGTAGTCTTTAAACGTTTGGCTAGGACACAACTGTGTGATGTGTAGAGATGTTTCCACTAGGGCGGGAGGGGAAATCCCATGCTAGAACATTTTTCCAGCATGCATGAGGCCCTGGGTTTCATCCCAAGCACTACCAAAAACAAAAACAAAAAAACTTACAATATTACCTTAAAAGAAAAGAAGTTTGTCAAAATGTGTGCACAGTATAATTTCAATGATCAAAGGTGTAGCATGGTCAGATTGTGTTTGCACACTGAAATCCCCAAGCCTATCCCCTGGAAGGGCTTGGTTGTGACAGTAGATGGCTTATGCCCAGGCCTAGAGCCCAGCAAAGGAGCCCTGACAGAGATCCTCACCACGTGAGCACCCAGAGAACGCCACCAGGGGACAGGAAGTGGCCCTCATGTTACCTGGCGCCTGTGCTTTGATATTGGACTTCCGGCCTCCAGAACCGTGAGAAATAACCGCTGTCACTTTGTAGTTTATGGTATTTTATGATAGCAACCCAAATGGACATTTAAAATACAGTTTGCTGTATTGTTGGAATGACAGATGAGCTTTTATTCAGTCACAGGGTCCATGGTTTGAGGCAGTGGGAAAATATCACACTCTTTTCATTATAAAGAACAAAGATCTGTCTTCATCTTCCATGATAGTTCAAGGTGCCCTGTAATACATACAGCTAATTAGTGAAGATTTTCCAAGCACAGTTTGGTGGTTATCTGAACTTCACTGAAAGCAATAGAGAAACACATGCCAAGTTGTTCTGTGGCTTTCAAGGGCATTTTGCCAAACGACATTGGCAAAAGTGGGCAGAAGAAGTGAGTTGAACTGAATTTCTGGAGAGACAGAACTGTGCTGCCAGCCCTGGTGTGAACAGGACATTTCTGAGTGCTTCCTGAGTCCTGTCTAGCCTGGAGAAGGACCACTGACTCTCCTGCTTTGCCCAGGACAGAAAGATCCCTGATACAGGGAAGGTACCCGGTATACACATGGCCAGGCCAGAGGGGACTGGCACTGAGAGTCTCCCAGGGGGACAGCGGCCCTGGGGTGATGTTGATACCTTGGCCAGCTGACGAATAATTGAGAGGAAGTTGGGATTTGGCTTTGTTATGCTTTGTGGGTAGTGCCAGCAATCAAACTGGAAGCAAGGTGGGTAAGCAGGAGAGTGTAGCCAAGTTCCCGAGGTTCTCCAGACACAGGGACTCGTCTTACCCTGTGCCTAAATGATACCTCTGGGTGCTGAAAACCCTAACTGATTCAACTATGAAGACTTAGCCGGGCACCCATGGCGCATGCCTATAAATCTCTGAGGATTGTGGTTGTAATCTGCTGAGATCTGAGAACTGTGGTTCGAAGCCAGCTTGGGCAGGACTACCACCAAAATGCCAGAAGTGGAGCTGTAGTTCCAGTGATAGGGTTCTAGCCTTGACCAAAAAGCTCAGGGACAGAATCCAAGCCCTGCCTTCAAGTCCTAGTCCCAACCCAACAGGAAAAAAAAATGCTATGTGAAGAGAAAGGTTATTTTTAACTTCTGTTATCTGTCCAACAAATAATTACTGGGCACTGGATATGTTCAAGCAACAAAAATGAAAACAGATTTCCTCTGCTTGCAATTCTCCTGAAACCAGGAGCCAGAGGTGTCCATCTATATTCCTAGCTGTTCCAGAGGCCGAGATCTGCAAGATCACAGTTTGAAGCCTAAGGAAGAAAAGGTCAATAGACTTCATCTGAAAAAAAAAAAAAAAAAGAGGCTGGAGATGTGGCTCGAGTGATAAGAGTGCCAG